TGATGCCACAAAAACCAAAGCTTCCGCGAGAACTGTACTGTACTTGTAATCTTTATTCCACAGACACGTGAGGAATTACGTGATGGTCTGGAAGGGGAGATGAGAGCGTTTAGCGTTGACAAAGATCTTGGCGGATCACACACGATCTCCTGGAATCATGCCGAGTTTGAAGTGAGATACGAGTGCCTTGCTGATGAGATTAAAATTGGTGATTACTACTTGCGCCTTTTGTTGGAAGAAGAGGAAAATGAAGAAACACGTGCAATAAAAAAATCGTAAGTTAATATTGGTTTGTTTGTTTTTTGAATTATTGGATAATAATTGACAATAATAATTATAAACAAGTTAGGACTAAAGAAATTTAATCTTGATGGAATTTACTTATACTTACCAAAAGTTTATTGAAAGTTTCCAAAGTTTATTAAAAGTTACCAAAGTTATTGAAACACGAAAAATTACTCAGAAGGAATTAAAATGGTTACACTAACTACTTGAACACATATTTAAAACATACAAATTCTACAAAAATTACATAAAAATGATTTAAATTATTTGCATAATCAGTTATGAAAACTTGACTTTCACAGAATTAGATTGCATGTAGTTTTATCAGTTTAAAAGATAATTTGTTTGCATGTTTCTATCAGTTCATTGGCAGGTTATAATAACTACTGACTTTTTAGCCCCCGCCGGATCTGCGATCCGGGCGGGGGGTATTAATTTGGGTTGTGTCTGTGCAATGTGCGTGCACATTTTCATGTTACCAGCTTTTTCTCACACATGTGTGATCCAATTAAGTTCAGAGTTGGTACAGAGACAGAAATTGATGGTGCTATGGTGCACATCAAGTTATTTTTTCGATTCTTCAAAGTTTCACTGTGTTTTTCCTTGATTTTTAACATTTTTCCTTCAAAATCCGACTTTTCCCGAAATTACCCGAGTTTAATCCGAGTTTTGATGACGCTTACGCAGTTCTCGTCTCGGTGGAAATCAGTCAATTTTGTGAGGATATTGTATCCCGGAATCTTTATTTGCGCAACGCTTCTATGGACAAAATTGTGTCTCGTCAATTTCAAAGGTAAGAAACTGTGCTTGTTATGGTATTTATACACTTTGTATTATCGTTTGTGTCTCCGGTTTGGTGATCATGAGAAACTATTGCTAACCACCGTCCCTCAACACCTTTGAGGGACGGTGTGCTAACCTGGCGAGAGTTTCGCCAGAAAAACTGCCTTTTTATTATGGTTGTAGGAACTGATTATGTATTGTGTAAATTGAAAGTTTACCTCGTGACTTAAGAGGTTTGCAGTGCTCTCACCGGGATTCAAACGTCGTGGTGGTGTCGGCGCAATGCTGCTCTGAGACGCTTGCCAGACTCTGCCTCGCTCAAAATCATTATCGCCATGCTTGATTTTCGCAACATTTACATTTGTTTATGATTTCCACAGCTATTGTTCTATGAGATGCGTCCTCGCTGTTCATAAACAGCCATAAACAAGTTTAGTTGGGTCTGCATGTACTCATTGAAAGTGTTGGTTTATTTACGTAATCCACTGATCACGCAATAGGCGAAGTTAAAAATATGTCGCTACTCAGGAGAGCTTGCCCACAACGCTAAATGTCCCAATATAAACGTACCGGTACGTTT